GAACATTTTTCCTATTATTTTATCACTTTAAGCAAAAGTACAAAATATTTACATTAATTAAAATTCTGAAAATTAAGAAAATTACAATTCATAGGTCCAATAATTAAATTTATGAACTATTAATATTTTGATATATCTTATTTAGTCTTTTTTCCTACAGATATTTTAAACATTGTTATAACAAAAGATATCAACTTTCTTCTGAATTTCCTATGTAGCATTATAACATAATTTCATTGGTTTTGATTCTGAATCACCTGTGCTTTGAAGAGTTTCCTGTTCTTATAGATTGGAACTGCAAGACTTTGAAAGCAAGCCTCCTTCACCTCACATCCATTGCTACAGAGACCTTTCAGAGGGAGGCAGAAGCAATTGCATCTGAGCCTAACACCACCCTTCCAGGGCTGACAGGGGATCAAAACAAGCTTTTTGGTGTTGAGAGTTCCACTTTCCTTCTCTGAAATGGAGGATAATAGAATTAGAAATAAGAAAATTAGCTGTCTGTGATAGAGGGAGCAATGATGCGGACAATCACTTGCAGTGTGCCTGCCGAGTGCCTACTCCTGGGTTGGGCTTGAATGAAAAGCGCTTAGCTCAAGGTTGACAAGAGCATCCACATGGAGGAAAACAAAGCTCAAAGGCTCAAATGGGTTCACAGAACTGTTTCAGCTCTGTGCCAGCTAGCACAGTGGATCATAGTGTAGTGACAGGTGCCCTGGATGGCAGAAACAGACCTTACCTATGACGAGGTCACTAGAACACTCATTTATTTAAAAGCTGACAATGACTTCACATACAAAAATCAACTCCAGGTAAATTAAAGGTTTAAACATAAAGGGCACAATAGTAAAAACTGGGGGATAAGTCAGAAAAATATCTATCTGTGTGTGACAGAGGGTAATATTTCTGAAACAGAACTCAAAAGACACAATTTAAAAGAGACGAGTCACTAAATTGGACATCACTAAAATCAGAGTTTTTATCCATTGGAAGACAGCTAGTGTAAGAGGAAAACCTCATATGTGGGAGAAACAGTCGTGATAATGCATAGCTTCTCACCAAGTCCCCATAACTACACCGTGCAAACAACTCCTGACAATTAGGAAGAAAAAGATGGCTCCCAAAGGAAAAAGGGCAAAAAATTTGGGCTAATCACAAAACACAGTGTATATATTTTTACTAAACAGTTGAAAAGTTGGTCAACTGCATTAGCCATTAGAAATGTAAACGAAAATTTCAATGTAATAGCACTCATCTATCTGACAAAAAGAGATCAACCCATTGCTGCAGATAGAGTGCACTCTCCTGCCTCGTGGGGCTCTATAGATGGGACACCCTATGCCTCAGAAGTTCCTTTTGAGGTGTACAAATGATAGATCTTTATAAATTTGTTCACCAAATAAAGACATGCAAAAATCTATATTATAGAAAAAATAGAGACAACTTAAACCCAGTTAGCAGTAGAATAGATAAACTATATCCATATGTAGGAAGGGCCTCTTGTTTGTCCCAGTTGCCCGGCTAGCTTACATCCAAAATAACCACACAGAAACTGTATTAATTAAAACACTGCTTGGCCATTAGCTCTAACTTTTTATTGGCTAACTCTTACATATGAGTTTAACTCACCTCCATTAATCCCTGTATCACCACTTGGCTGTTACTTACCGGCAAGATTCTAATCAGCATCTGTCTGAGGCAGAGGATTCATAACTTCTCTGACTCTGCCTTTCTCCCTCCCAGCATTCAGTTCTGTTTTCTCCGCCTACCTAAGTTCCACCCTATCAACTAGGTCAAGGTAGCTTCTTTATTCATTAACCAATGAAAGCAACACACAAACAAAAGGAACTAGATATAGGAAGCAAAATGTTTAGTCTCAAAAACATAATATTGAACCCTAAAACTCAGACATGTAAGACTGCAGATTCTATTATATAAATACACACAAATCTGGAGAGAGAGAGAGAGAGAGAGAGAGAGAGAGAGAGAGAGAGAGAGAGCACATACACATGGGTAAAAGAAAGTTTGAGGAGCACCACAGTAGCTGAGGAGTGAGCTGCCATCACTGCCAGTTGACTCTATAAGGATACACTTTCAGGGCCAAGGATAAATGTCTTAAATTATTTATGTTTCTATTTTCTGATCCGTAACATGAGGGAAATAATAATGAACTAATTCTTTTAAGTACTTGGAATGATTTGTATATTAGTGGATATGAAATAAAATCAAATCCAGCGGAGCTAGAGCAATGGCCTAGTGAGTAAGAGCACCAGCTGCTGCTGTAAAGGACCCAGATGCATCCCAAGCATTCAAATAATGGTTCAAAACTATCCATAACTCCACCTCCACAGGGTTTGATTCTGTCTTCTGACTTCTATGACACCAAGCACACAAATTTTTTTCATAAATAAATAAATCTAAAAAAAAATTAATCCAGTACAGATGCAAATTTTTGTTTTGTTTTTTGTTGTTTTGTTTTGTGGTCTTAGCTGTCCTAGAACTCACTATGTAGGCCAAGCTGGACTCAAACTCACAGAGTACTGGGAGTAAAGGCATGCATTACCCGCTAGTGGCTCAGATGCACTTTTTAGAATATCTTTTATGTGTACTTCGACAGTTTTGTACATGTACACAATGTATCTTGATTCCTCTCTACCCCAACTTCCAAATGTATTCCTCAACACCGCCTCCCACCTTCATGTACAGTTCTTTCTTTTCCTTTTTGCTTTTTTCTTTTGTAAGCCTCTGAGTCCAGCTGGTGCTGCCTGCTGGAATATTGATTGACCTTGTTGGCTTGATTTTGTTCAGGTAACCACGGCTGAAGTGAGTTACTGAACAGAGTGGCTATGCCATGTCCAGGAAAGGGCATTCACAGCACTCATCCCCATCCTCTGCCTTTTCTTTTTCTGTGCTCCTAGAGCCTTGAGGTATCCAGTTTCGAGCTAAGCACTTCTCAGCAGTTTAGTCATTACTCTTCATTAGCTGCTGCCCACTGCAGGAGCGATTGTCTTTAGCCAAGATTGAGAGAAACGTTAATCTATGAATATAAAAATAAATACTTTTTTTTCTTTTCTTTTCTTTTCTTTTTTTTTCAGAGCTGAAGACGAACGTTAAGGGTTTGCACTTGCTAGGCAAGCACTCTACCACTGAGCTAAATCCCCAACCCCAAGCGCAAATATTTAAAAGACAATTTAGTGTGCTGTTCATTTAACAATACAACATATGTTCCCTTCTAAGACTTATGACCAATCCAATCCATGGACTTCTAATCTTTTTTACTACGTTATACAACAATTCCCTCCTGTGTCCAGGTCTCAGATCCAATAAGAAAGCAGTTAGTTATCCCAACAACCTTCATGCTGCTATTGTATCACCTTTCCTGGTAGGTCAGTATTGTAGTACTCAGGTCCCGTGCTGGGCAAGACTATTGCTGCCTTTACTGCTCACTCCTGTCCCCCCCACCACCTAGCTCCCTATAAAAACCTTCCAGCACTAGGAGAGCCAGCCCACAGGACGGAAGTTTTTAGGTTAGTCCTAGCATGCTTTCTCTATGTCTTTTAACAAAATTTTATTTTCAACAATAAAGTCTCATCATCTGGTTCTGGTGAGCAACCAAGAGTAATGACAACAGCCTGTATTGTTTGAGTTATAAGGAGATGTTTGAGGCTTGGCACTAAGATTTTTATTTACCCATGCAGGGTACCTATGTTCAAATTCCTTTTTTTTATTTTCAATTATGTTTTTTTTTTAGTTACATTACAAAGTAATGGATTTCTGTAAGGACTTTTCATGCATCCTTAGTTTTGATTGGCCCTTAATCTTCCTGTCTCTACTTAAAATCTTTAACATCATGTACCCTCATTATTCTTTTGTCTAGCAAGTTCCTTAGAAAAATGAGTTGTCTTTGACCAATAACAGAATTCCTCCTTAGAAAACTTTACTATGAAATCAGGTTAAATTCTATTTTAAATTTTCCACTGATTAAATAACTCTGGGCAAAAAAGAATAGTCAAATAAAAGATTTCTTCCACAGTGGAAAAAGTAACTGTAATTATAGACTTGATAGTTTACTGTGTCTTTGTGTAATTCATTAACTGCTCTTCAGATTGCTGAGGAATCCAACCATCCCTGGAATGTGGTCCTGCCCTTGCCTACCTGATTCTGCTTCATTTCCCTCCCATTCTCTCAGCGGCTGTTCTCTCTGAGCTCTGGCTTCTCTCCTGCCAGCTCTGCTAGTACAGTAAAAATCTACTTCCTCTCTTACCCCAGCTCACTGGAGAGCTCTGCTTGGGGGGGTCTCATGAAACTGCCCTCATGTTTCTAAATTACAAGAAAAAGAAAAACTATGCTCAGTGCGATCTATCTTATAATTTAGCCCTAATGTATATTTTAATATTTATTCATAGTTAGTTTGATTTCTCTGTATTTTTTTTTTATTCTCAAGAAGTCCCAATGCATACAGACCCACTTTGCTTTGAAGTCTCAGTCTGGATTGGGCTGTGGCTAGTGGCCAGGAAAGTATCATTGTCTCCTAAGATTGATCTCAGGTCCTGGCCAAATTATAAAAGTTTCCATTTCCGCCCCCACATACAAGCTTTATCATGACACAACAAATACCTTTATATTTTTTCCTGTGTGTGTGCATGTGTACATGTTTGCTTGTTTGTTTTTAAGAATGAGTCTCTAACTGGCCTATAACTCACCAAGCAGGCTAGACTAGCAAGTCTGCAAGTCCCTAGGGTCAACTTATCTCTATCTATCCCTGCACATCTTCAACCTTCAGCTGTCCCCCTACCTCAGCTCCCAACCCACCCTGCAGCCCCCTTTCCTCCCGTCCCAGCACTAGGATACTAAGGACATTCCATCATTTCCAGCTTTTTTTAAACCTTGAGTTCTGGAGACCAAAATCGGGTCCTCACTTTACTAGCTGAGCTATCTCCCTACCCTGCCTTTGTATTTTTAAGGCATCGTTATGACAGCCTATACGTTCTTTGTTCAAGGATATTAAAGAAGCTGATGAACAAATGGAGGTAACGACATGTTCCACTGAGGAAAAAAAACAGCTCTGTTTCTCTGTGTGATGTGAGCATCTCCAAGTCCCTCTGTGCTGACCAGTCTGAGGAAGTCATCCTCCGTCAAAAGGCAGTGAGTGCTTGTATTACATGTTCTCTGATACCCAATTAATCCTTATGAAATTTATAATTGATGTATAATAAAATAGTATTGTGCCATTAAGCTCACATTCGCTCTCACTGCCCATGAAACTAAGGAGGTCATCTAATGAACCACATTTATGTCAAAGGTCTTTGCTGGAAAGGAAAAAAAATCTTATAGAGGCATACTGTTCCTTCCTACACGACAAACCAGGAGTTAAAACAGCAGCCTGACAGCCTGGCCTACTAGAGCCAGTTCCAGGACAGGCTCTAAAACTACAGAGAAACCTTGTCTAGAAAAACCAAAACCAAGCACACAAACAAAAAAACAGCAGCCTGAGGTGTGGGGAACACCACCAGGGCTACCTCGGATTAAATTGGGTCCGGATATTGTGTCTAGAGGGCATCCAATGGGACTTCCCGGCCTTGTGGAAAAGGAGCAAGTGAATAGCCACAGAATGCAAACCTGCCGTCCAGGGAGGAAAAGGTTAAGCATGGAAATGAGCTTGAGAGTGCAACCAGCCAGCACCAGCCCCTGGACCGCTCATTTACATACCGCCCACCTTCTCTGTACCAGTCCTGGTGGAGAGGGCTCTCTAACTAATCTCCACAGCTCTTTGACTGGCCACTCCCGCTGCAACCCAAAGGCAAACTGATCCCAGGCATACTCTTCCCTGCTCCCAGTACAAAGTTCACCCTGCTGGATCTCTCCCGGCCCCCAGCACCACTTAGCACCCTCTTCAGTCACTACCCTACCCCCCTACCCCGTTTCATTTCTCTTTCACAATTTATCCCCTTCCACTTAACCCACCATGGGTTCCAGGCCCACAAATTGAATATACTCAATACCTTCCCTGGTTAGGTTTCTTTTGCCGCGAAAAGCACCATGCTCAAAGGGAACTTCGGAGCAAAGGGTTTATTTCAGCTGACAGAGTCCTTCATGAAGGGAACTCAGGGCAGAAACTGAAGCGGAGGCCCGTGGAGGCTGCTACTGACTTGCTCTGCATGGTTTGCTCAGTTTACTTATACATTCACCTGCCCAGGGATGACACTGCCCACACAAAAATCACCCACAGACTTGCTACAGGCCAATCTGTTGGAGGCAGTTTCTCAACTGAGGTTCCCGCAAAAGCCTTGGATTGAGTCAAGTTGAGGGAAACAAAACAAACAAACAAACAAACAAAGGAAACCAACCAACCAACCAGCACACCTTTTCATAAGCGGCTTCCCTCCACGCGCTTCCCTGAGCTCTAGAGCTCTCCTGCTCATCAGGCCCTATTACCGGCCCCTGTGTGCTGTTATGTATTTGTTAACCTCCAACCAGAGGTCCGCGTCCGGGTTCCTCTGTGCAGCCTCCAGCTGACAGTCACCCAACAGCTCTCTTGGGCCATTCTTCTCCCAACAATTCAGGTTAAAGCATCCTTAGCTCTTCCTGCTGACTCCCAACTCACCTTCTCCCGCTCAGCCGTCAGTTTTCGGATGTGCTTATGTGACACAGACAATTAGTTGTCTCACACTTCAGCTGCAGCTATGTGATCGTCAAGGACTCACACTTAGACTTTCCCCCTTTGCTCTACCACGTTGTTTTTGTAAAGGTTCATTTGTTTAAACACATAAAAATAATTTTCAGGCTGACAAGACCTGTAAAAAAGGTCCTTGTCTTTAGCAGACACACAAAGATACACATGCACATACATACAGGCATGTGAGCAAAATAAATTTATAAAATTAATTTTTTAAATATTTAAAGAAAAATAATTCTCAATTTTGAATCCTATTCTTTGACATTTTGCTTTTTGTTTTCATTGTTTATTAATGGTTTGTTTAGTTTTCGGTTTGTTTGTTTGTTTGTTTTAGTATATAGTCCACAAGCTCAGAGAAACTCTCTGGATAGAAATCAGAGGTCATTAATTTAAATGAAGAAGAAAAAATAACTTTTCCCACTAGCCCCTGAAAAAGGATTAACATCACTTGGTGAATATAAGAATTAAACTCTTGTAAGATTGTTCATCGCTGTGGATGTCATCAAAGGTCACCATAGGAATTTTTATTTATTTCAAGTAACCAACAGCGTAAAATTTACAACATCTAGCATTTAATAAAAAAAAATCAGTAGTGAAATAAAATAAAACAAAAAACAGCTGACAAGGTGGCTTGGTGAGGAGAAGTCTTCCGCCAGCCTGAGTTCATCTGCCAGCTCTGGTGCGGCTGACTCTGACCGCCACGTATACCCTGTGTCGCGTGCATGCATTGATGTACATGTATACACACACACACACACACACACACACACATACACACACACACAAATTTTACTAATGTAAAAACACTGATTTTATGTGAGAATACCCAGTAGAAAACCTTTATGACTTTAAGATTTCCTAGATAATATTACTGAAAACATACTGATAAGAATAAATCAGACATTATTAGTGAAGCCATTTCCTTTTATTAAACAGATTTAAGTAACAGGATAAACCATAAACTGGAAGTATTTATAAACTAAATATCTTCTATAGAACTTGAACTCAGGCTAAATAAAAAACTCCCAAAGCATTAAAACAATTAATAAATAGCAGCATCCCCATGACAAAGTGAGGGAAAGAGAAAACAGCGAGGACCAGAGCCAGTGTGTGCTATGGGAGGAGGAGCTGATGGCAACCAGAGGCTGAAGAGAGCTGGCTGGTCAAAGACTGGGTCCTTCCATGGAAGTTGTATTATCTGTGTAACTGTGTTAATAGTCTTGCCAGTTACAGGCTACTTCTAAACTCCCAAAATACACACACATGTGCAATTGGTGATAAGCAAATTACATATGTGTGTGTAACTGGCTATATGCAAATTATAACTCAATAAAATTCAAAACAGATCAGATGAAATTTTTAACTTTATCAGACTGGTTTGTGTCTCTACAGAAAATGCCTACTTCACATTTTTACATCAGATTATCTTAAGACATTCTATAATCCATAATATATTAGATATGACATTATTCGTGATTTTTCAGGGATTTTTCATTTTGGTTTTGTCTTACTTTATTTTTTTTCTATCTAGTTAACACCGTTTAAGCAATACTTCTTTTTTAAACCTGCATTTTTTTTTAAATCCTAGAGGAAAAAAAATTCCACCTTTTAAAACTGTGCCTCATGACTGAGTATGAGGGCATTGAATTGAATGCTGGGATCACAAAAACTTTTTAAATGACAACAGTCAAATGTTTCTGAATGCATGACAGCTAAACGTGAATTTGATATCAAACATGCAATGAACATACAGCTTTCCTGGCCATCTCACCTGTACTGCATGGGACTCCATCACTCCAGTCTGAGCACACATCCCGAGCACCTTGCTGTGCACATGCCCTCACACCATGCCACACAACCACACTGGAACACTTTCGAGGCTAAAATCCTCATAAAACATTGCCCTCTTGCACTTTCTCCACAGGCTTCCTGCCTAACCCTTATCCTCGCTTAGAGCATGATACTGAATCCAGTCTAACAAGATTAAGGAAAATTGATTCTGTTATTGCTTGTGATTCTTAGCTACCTGAGATGTGACCTAATATTTGTTTTCTCTTTAATTTTTTTATTTTTCTTTTTGTGTTTTCCTGAAAGTATGTTTGTTCTGCACATGTGTATAGTGCCTGAGGAGGTCAGAGGAGGGCACCAGATCCCCTGGGTCTGGAGTTACAAGTGCTTCTGTGGGTCCTAGGAATCAAACCGTGGTTCTCACCCATTGAGCCACCTCTCGGGGCCCAGTTTGTGCTTTCTTAGTGATAGCAACGGAGTGGAATTCCAAAAGTTGACATTGTATAAATCATCAATTTACATTCCTTTATGTATGAGACTCATCATTAGTAATAAAATTGGTGAATTTTTCTAAGAAAAATACAACTATACACTGCCATGTGTTATATTTGCTACGTTCCAGTGTGCTTCTCTGTCGGTGCCACCTCAACCAGCAAGGACGACGCGACACCAGAGCTCTTCTCACAGGCAGTTTATTCAGGACCTTGAACAATGGCTTCCCTCTTGTTTCTCTCTCCCCGAGCAGACTTCTCCCAGCCCTTATATACCCTATGGTCGTCTATCCCGGAGTACCACGTGGACATCGCCCAAAGGCTCAAGCATACACAAGCGACACACGACCATAGCAGGTCACGGGCCATAACCATAAAAGGAGTTGTTTGTCACAGAGAGTGCTCGCTTTTGGGCTCGCGGAGGGTGACAGCCAGCGCCATCTTAAAGGTGCGGCTCCACGCAGCTCTCTACAGTTCCCCCTTTTTTGTTTTCACACAAGCAACAGGTAAGAGTAGAGGTCTGATCTCTGTCAAAAAATTAGGAGCAATATACTGATGTCTAGCCAGGTGCTGTCCACCCAGAGAAACACCAGATCCGCCCGGTGCCTTTTGCGCAGAGGTGGGAGATCATGCACCAACCCACATGCAATCAGACTTGCTCTTCTTGAGACCAACATTACGAGCTCTCAAGTGCAGTGCACAAGCCTCGCAATCTGTGTCAACAATCTTTTAACGTAGCTAGCCATATTTGGGGAGACTGTCCTGCTTCAATGGCCGTAAATGCCTGGATGATCATGGCTACATTGCAACGCTGTGAGGTCCGTATGCGACATATGTACCACAGACACACCAAGGAGGCAAGCACCATTAGGCCTGTCAGGGCTCCTATTCCCGTCCACTCCTTAAAATAACTAAAAGTCCATTTCAGCATATTAAGAAAAGCATCAGTAGTAGGTAAATCCAGCCATGTGGCATTCAGGGAAATAATCTGGTTGGTCAAGGTGTCTGTCAGGTTCTCGAACTCCTTGCTCCAGTTTTCCCTGGAGGTATGCGCTCAGCTGCCGGCTCAGGTTACAGTTTTTTGTAAAGTTCTCAGCCAATCTGGAAGTAATACATAAGGAGGAGAGGGAATGAATACATCCTACACTGGTTAAGGTTACTAAGTCATCTACTTGCTCTTGCAAGAG